GAGGCTGTGGTTCTCCCTCTCCTCTCCCTCCCTTCTCTCTCTCTCTCCAGATTCTGACTCTGTCCACTTCCTGTCTCTGGATAGGGCGTAAAATACCCTAAAATAAGCCTTAATATATATTAATATCAATACTTATAATATTATTATTAGTAGTAGTATCTTGTTAATAACTGAATGCTAAACATCTAATCCCACAAGTTTGAAAATGCTGTCTCTCTCTTTATTATCTACCCATCACAGTTTTTGCTCACACCTCATTTCTCAGCAGTTTCCATTCACACTCTGCTGTCGCCGCATCACGGACAGGAAAAACTCAGCAGAGCAGACAGTTTAGTTCTCATGTACTCCACTTCTAATATATTTTTTTACCTCCTGGTCAAACAAAACAGTTTTAAACACAAATGTTCTCGACACTGAGACCCCTGGCTGCACCCTCTATATCATGTCTTTATCGTCTTTAATAGAGATCAGGTGTACTTCAACTGTTGCTCCGCCTCTTTTCCCTTTTGCAGTAACCTCTATTAATAACAGATATCTGTATATTAATGAGTCTGTACAGCATGACCATTTGGATATGAAGTGTTCTGCTGTCTGGTTGGTGGTTGAGTAGTATTGACAAATGATGTTTGAACAGTCTAAGATAGTGGTTCACACCTTGCATTGTCATCCCTGGGTGATCGTATAACAAGTGGACAATACCTTAGTACAGGTGTTCAAACTTTGCATGGACAGAATCTGTTGTTCTCCCAGGTTTTAAGTTGAGTGGGCGGTCCTAAATGCTGCAGTGAACGCATGAGTGTTTACACTATCAATCCAATGTGAACAAATGCATGCCACACCACGTCTGTATGTGGTCCGAGCTGTCAGAACTCATCCCATCCTCAGGAGGCATTGGGGCGCGTTCACACCGAGCATTAAGGCTATCCACTTGTCATCAGATCACCAAAGACGGATGTTAATGAAATGTGTGAAGAGCCTCTTTGGGCGTTTTCACATCTAGCCTGTTTGGTTCAGTTAAAAATATCTTGAGTCTGTAGCAAGTTTGTGCTGGTGTGAAAGCTGTCAATCAAACCCTGGTGCAGACAAAACAATCATATCCGGATCGCTTGAAAAGGGGGGTCTGGGTTCACTTGTTTTTTGTGCAACTTATAGAAAAACAGGAAACAGTCTTATTTGTAATTAAACCAGCTAAATTAGCCAGTATCTCAGAGAATTATGGGTAGGTTTGTTCACCTTTCACGACCACCACAGCAGAATGAAGAATCATGTTAGGCAGACTGTAAATAGTAACTTCTGCACAAAGAGACTTGACCTTTTCTACTTTATTAGGATAGCTGCTAGCTTTGTCTCACTCTGACATCAGGTGTAGTCGTACTAGTTGAAGCACCTCCACTATGAATGAAGGTTTGACTCATGATGCTGCTCTTACTGTAACTGTGGTTCTTGGTGTGCTCTATTTTACAGTGATTCAGGGTCAGGCTGGCTGGAGAGTGACTTACTCCTCTACTAAAGTCTGTGCCTTAAGAGGATCAACAGTCGTACTAAGGTGCACCTACAGCTACCCATCGCGATTCAATTATCAGTCTACTACAGTTCAGAAGTCCTTCTGGTTTACTGAAGTCCAGGATGGAGAACCTGTAGATCTGCAAACAGACTCACAGTACACAGGTCGTGTGACCTACAGCTCTAAATCGAAGGACTGCACTCTGACAATCACAAATGTGGGAAATAGTGACTCAGCTGTTTACAAGTTCAGGTTCATAACAACCCATCAAGATGGAAGTTATACTGGTGATCCCGGAGTCACTTTGTCCCTCACAGGTAATGTTTTCATTCATTTTTTGATTATTTTAAAAACAATAAAACAACAATATCAATGTCTTCTTTTATATTTGTGCATATGAATATAGACAGTGTTGTCTTAAATTTCCTCTCTGTTCTCTCTCCACACATCCAGATCTTCATGTGAAGGTGGGCACATCTAGATATTCTTCTTGGGCAGATCTGACGTGTGTCAGCAGTTGTACTCTCCCTCCTCATTCCTCCTACATTTGGTTCAAGAATGGAGAGAAAATCCCCAGAAAAACATCCTCGACTTACTCAGACTACTTTGAATATGCAGACAGCTATTCCTGTGCTTTACAGGAACACCAGGATTTCCCCTCTCCTCCAGTGTGTGAGTTAACTTCACAATCTGCTTCGAACAAAACAACATCTGGTGGTGGAGACGTGTAACTACTTGTTTTTTTCTCTTGTGAGTTTTTACTCTGTTTTAAATGATTTGTTTAATTTTCCAGGTGTTCGTGGTGAAACCTGTAACAGAGTGAAGTACGATGTCAGAACCATCTGTGCACCCAAAGGCTCATCAGTGGACATTTATTGTACTTACAACGGTCATGAAGCGGTCACTTCAAAGTTCTGGTTCAGTCCTGAACATAGTCAGCATTGGTATCAGTCAAATCGTGTTCAGGTCTCTGAAAGAGAGAGAGGACGCTCCACTCTGAGAATCTCTGACCTGAGAGAGAGCGATTCAGCCCAGCATCGTTTCAAATTTATAACAAGAAGCTTTGAATGGAGGAGCAGTTTACCTGGAACAACTCTGACTGTCACAGGTACTAATGAACGCAGAGCCATGGAGACACACAAACACAGAACCTGAACTCATCACTATCAGTTTGTACTCACTGTTTATATGAACAAACAGGTCATGCTTGTGTGTTAATGATAAGAGAGCCTTTGTGATGAATGTCACCACTCAGCGTCTTTTACTTTAGAGCAGAGGTTCTCAACTGGTGGGTCGGGACCACAAAGTGGGTCGCAGAGCCGTTTTCAGTGGGTTGTGAATTTGTGTTTGGAAACATAAAGTGTGCCAAAAAGTCTATGAGTGCTTTAAACATGTTTTGTATCATCTGAGGTCCAAACTGCACAACATTTAAATACATCTCATTGGTTGACAAATATCAGATGATTTGGTTTACACTTCCTCATAGTTGATATTCGGTCCTGAGGCGAGACCAGTTGAGAACCAACGATTTAGAGCAATCCAACTTTTTAGCAGCTTCTCTGAGTTTTTTAGTTTCAAATCTTTGAACTCTTCAGATAGAAGCTTTTGTCCTTTACTTTTCTTTCTTGGGAAACCAATTTTTATTTGAAGAGCCCTAATTCTTAACAAACGTTACCTGAAGACAATCTGAAGAGGGGAAGCTTGTTTAGGCTCGGTTTTACACCAAGCTGTAAAGTATGTCAGACAGAAATGATCATTATACTCTTGCTGTTGTTTATGTTCTTCTGTGTTTGGTTTAGTTTGCTTTGTTCTTGCCTTTGCTGTTTGTCACAGGACTTTTTAAACCTGTGTTTTTGAAGGTGCTATATAAATAAAGGTATTATTGTTATTATTATTATTATTATTATCATTATTATTATTATTATTATAGAAAAGACGCCTAATTTGTGTGTGCTGACTGAGTCAGACCAAAAAAAGGCATTTTAATCCAAGTTCTCTGTTGGAGCTTTTCTGTCAGAATAAAGGCTGTGTGGTCACAGACTCTTAGTTTTCTTGCTTTGACTTCTAGATATTGTGGAAGTTCAAATGATGTGCATCTAAATCTAATCTCTCTCTTTTTAGAACAGAGACAATTCACTTTTTTTCCTCCATATCCAGCGTTACAGGTTCAGGTTAAAAGGATAAGAGCCGGTCAGCATTCCATTGAGGTGGAGATGACGTGTCGCAGCAGCTGCAGTGAAGTCGGTCGTCTCTCATACGTCTGGTTCAGGAACAAACAGAAAATAACCAGAGCTGTGACTTCTACCTATAAAGGCTGGTTTTATCTTGAGGATGAAATCTCCTGTGCCTTAAACGGACATGATCGATTCCCCTCTCCTTCAGTGTGTGAGTAAACTTGACTAAATCACAAAACACACTTAAAGACTAACACCACAGCACACTTACACTTTAAGTTCCCTTAAAACCCTGCTGGAATCTTATAGATTTAAAAGTCCAATGTGTAAAATATTTCCTGAATTAAATTACAAACTGACCTTAGTATATCATCAGACATTGAGGAAACAAGCGATGTTGAAGTGGTGTGGAACGGCAAACCAACAGGTGTTGCAGCGATGGAAGTGGGGAAGAGAAGTGGTTCAGATAGAAGTGATTGTACCCGACCTAAAAAGCCTCTGCATGTTTCTAATAAGCTCCACGAGCAGAAACGTGCTCAAACTAGGATCAATATTGGAGATGCTTTTGAAAAATGGAGAGAGGTTAGAACACAGAAAGGTTTACAGACCCATGCAGAGCTGGATAAACACTGAAGCTTCAGAGTCCACCACATGGTGACCTGAGTGAGCATGGACTCGAGAGAGGAGGGGGGAGAGACAGCTCTCTACAATGTTTAGAATTTGGACTGCAGTACCCATTTTAAACACTAGGTGTCAGAGTTACATACTGCTCCTTTAACTCTGTTTACAAATGAGTAATATTAAACTGCTCGGTAACAATTTTCAAATGATCACAACAGAGTTAAAACAGAATCTGAGTACAAAAGCAACCAAAGATTAAGCTTCAGTCTCGTGAAGATATCAGTGATGAAGCAAAAGCTAAAACGATTAACACATATTCAATGTTTTAGAAAGAGACTCCTCAAGATAAAGTGGAATTGCATGGCCTTTGTTTTACAGTTTGTTACATAGACTGCACAGAATTGATGACAAGACAAAATAAAAAAGAAGTAAAATCAGGCTCCATGGTCAGCACTTTACAGTCACTGTGACAGAAAGATGAATCAAAAAGGAACATAAAGACATCTAGATAAAAATGAACATGTATCTATGATCAAATGTTCTTATCTTTGAGTAATGTCTCCTGATGTCTTCCTCAGATGCTCCAAAGCTTCCCTCTGTGTCAGTGAGTCCCTCTGCTGAGATAGTGGAGAACAGTACTGTGACTCTGACCTGTAGCAGTGATGCTAACCCAGCAGCTAATTATACCTGGTACAAGAAGA